AAAGAGGAGTGTAATGATGACTGAACATTGGGATTTATTTGAATTGTGACCGAGTCCATAAGATACTGTGACCATAATTTCTTAAACCAAACCTCAATGTTTGGTGGTTTTGGATCTTTCCAACATGACGCTATGGCTGTTTTGGCAGCATCTAACACGACATCTATGGTTGTTCTGTGTTGTCTAGAAGATTACTCTTTTGGCCAGGAGTTCAGAAATATAGTTTCTGGTGTAAAGGGGACCTTGATTAATGTGATTTTTTGAATCACTGATAGTACTTCCGTCCAGAAATGTTTAATTTTCTCACACCGCCACCAGGAGTGGGCAAACAAGGATCCTTCTTTTGACACAAAAGGGCCACTTGCATCAGGGGAAAGCTGGAGGAAAGAGCTATTGCTGGTGTAACAGATCCACTGGATCCAATCTAGGGTCTTCTTTGTGGAGCGATTATCACCTGGTCTCTTTGGGCTTCCAGAGATATGTTCCTTTCCTCTGCACATCTGTATATTTATTCCCCCCCCCCAAAAAAAAACATTAACATTTTCAAATCACAAACAATCAATAAAACATTCAATTGAACAGAGAGAAGTAAAAATAGAATACAGCGTGATTGTCAGCATACATATGTAGTGCTTTTGATTTAAGCATATATTGAATATCTACAAACGAAAAGGTAAATTATGTCTCATTTCAAGGAAAACAATACAGCAGACTATCTCCTACTATCACATGGGACGCTTTGAAACCAGTGCTAAAAGGCAGTTTGATCTCCAAATCCTCATTCCTATCAAAACAAAACAAAATCAACCCAAGGGTAGATTTGTTGGCTAGAATCAACTCTTTGGAAAAAACTTCACAAAGAAAAGGGAGGTTTAAAAATCTGTGTTTATTTCTCAAGTGTGGTCCTCATCTGTGGATACCTAAATCTGCAGATCAGGGCCACACTTACCCAAAACAGATTCTTCTTCAAACTTGGATGCCATCCCCCCCCCCCCCCCCACGTGTCACCATGAAATCTTAAAAAAAGAATACATCGGGATAACTCCCTCATAAGTAAAATAGAAGAAGAGGAGATTGGATTCATTCCCCGACCTTTCTTACCCAAAGGAGTCTCAGAGCAGCTTACAATCTCCTTTCCCTTCCCTTCCCAACAACAGACAACCTGTGAGCAATGTTCCCTCTAAGCTGAGTTAGTGTGAGCTAGCTCACGGTTTCTGAGCCTCCAGCTCACACATTTTTGTCTTAGCGCAGGAAGGATGGCTGCAGAGCAAACCAATTTATGCGGTAGCCAAATCACCTGCTCACAACTTGAATGCCAGTAGCTCACAAAGGAGAATTTTTGCTCACAAGACTCCATAACTTAGAGGGAACATTGCCTGTGAGGTAAGTGGGGCTGAGAGAGCTCTTTTGAGGATTGCCCGTGAGAGAACAGCTCTGAGAGAACTTGTAACTGACCCAAGGTCACACCAGCAGCTGCATGTGGAAGAGTGGGGAATCAGCCCTAGTTCTCCTAGATTAGATTCCGTGCTCCTAACCACTACACCAGATACTGCTCTCTGCGCAAGCACAGACTATGCACCTACCTCCAGCAGTGGTTGTAGGAACCCGGGCGTCACGCTGGGCCTGGTGACTCCCGGGTTCTTGCGGGCCCACGCTTGTCTCTTCTGGTTCTCCTCTTTTTCCTTGCCGTCCCCTGATGCGGAGGGACCCACGTTTCCCCCCTCTGCTGATAGAGCTGGGAGGGAGGACAGAGTGTGCCTGCACGTGTGTTTTCCTGGACAGGAAACGGGGAGCATGAGAGTGTCTTGTGTTTCCTCCCCGGGCAGGAAGCAGGAGGAGCTGGTCCAGCAGGTGCGGAAGAGGCTGGAAGAGGCCCTGATGGCAGACATGCTGGCCCACGTGGAGGAGATCGCCAGGGACGGAGAGGCCCCCGCCGAGAAGCTGCGGGGAGAGGAAGACGGGGAGGACGATGAGGAAGACGACGTGGATCGCGGCCCGGAGATCGAGAACGTATAGTCAGAGAGCGGCTGCAGGGTAAGCGTGTTTCAAAACTCTTGTTTCGGGGAGCCCCCCGGGGGGATGCTCTGAAGCTAAGCAGGGCTTCATCATGAACAGATTAGATCCGGAGAGCAAGGTTTCCGAAGCTGATTTTCCTTTACGAAGGACAGAGACAAATCGAGTGGGTTCAGAGAGGAGGGCAGCGAAGGCGGTCGAGGGTCTGAAAAACAAGGCCTCGGAGGGGATGTTGGGCGAGGGTGCGCCTCTCCTGGACCGGAGGCGGAGATGCGACTGCACTCTCCGTCTGCCTGAAGGGCCGTTCCACGAGAGATGGCAGAGCCGTGTTCTGTTGTGCTCCAGAGAGCCAGTTTGGTGTAGTGGTTAAGTGCGCAGACTCTAATCTGGGAGAACCAGGTTTGATTCCCCACTCCTCCACTTGCACCTGCTGATGTGACCTTGGGTCTGTCACAAGCTCTGGCACAGCTGTCCTTGAAAAAGAGCAGTTTGTGTCAGAGTTCTCTCAGCCCCACCCACCTCACAGGGTGCCTGTTGTGGGGAGGGGAAGGGAAAGGAGTTTGTAAGCCGCTCTGAGACTCCCAAGTGAAGGGCGGGGTATAAATCCAATCTCCTCTTCTTCTTCCAGAGGGTAGGACCGGATCTGTTGGCGGCGGAATGTGCCATAAGGTCTCCGCTGACTTACGGCCACCCCGTAGGGTTCTCAAGGCAAGAGACAGTCAGAGGTGGCTTGCCATCGCCTGCCTTTGCGTCACAACCACTGTTCCCTCTAAGCTGAGTTAGCGTGAGCTAGCTTGCAGTTTTTTAGCCTCCAGCTCACACACTTTTGTCTCAGCTCAGGAAGGATGGCTCCAGGGCAAACAGATTTAGGCGGTAGCCGAATCGCTCGTTTGCAACTTCAATGCCAGCGGCTCACAAAGTAGAATTTTTTTTCTCACAAGACCCCACAGCTTAGAGGGAGCATTGGTCACAACCCTGGACTCCCTTGGTGGTCTCCCATCCCGGTACTAACCAGCGCTGACCCTGCTTGGCTTGCAAGATCTGTAGCAACCCGAGCTGCAGTGTTAGGAAAGTCAAGTAACGAATGAATATACACGGCAAGAAACGTTTGTAAGTTAACGTGTTCTATTTGTGATTGTCATTCTATAAAGTGCACAGTGTGCTATTATTACATCCTAATCAGGTACATGTATTCAATTCATTCCGTTTAACAACTACCAGTCAGTTTTGCATCAATATTTTAAAAAGTCAAGCCCCAACAGGAGTTTCCGGAATTGCAAGCCCGCTTCTACTTGCACGAAGTCTTCCCCGGGGGGGGGGGGGTGGTTTTCAATTGAGGGGGGGGATTATTTTCAATTGTATTCTGTTGGTGCTTATTGCCAGTCCTACAGAAGAATTGTGCAGCTAAGATTCATAGATGGAGTGCTCCTGTCATTCTCCAAAGACTGCAGTCTTTTGGAAGACCGTGCATGTCGAAGCGGGCTGGCAATTCCGGAAAATCCCGTTGGGGGCTTGACTTTTTAAAATATCCATGCGGAATTGACTGGTAGTTGTTAAACGGAATGAATTGAATACGTGTACCTGATTAGGATGTAATAACAGCACGCTGTGCCCTTTATAGAATGACAATCACAAATAGAACACGTTAACTTACAAACGTTTCTTGCAGTGTATATTCATTCGTTACTTAGCTTCCGAGATCTGGCAAGTTGAGGCTAGCCCGGGCCACCCTGCCCAGGGCAAGATTGGATCTAAGGGGCCTGAATTAGAAGAAGGGAGATTTTGGTGGAAGACGACAGGGCGAGGGAACAGATGACCCATGGTGGGGGTGTCCACGTTCAAGGTCTTCAAAGCAGAGACGGGGGCAGTCCTTGGTCAGGCATGCGCTGGCTTTGGATTTCTTGCCCTGAGCCGGGGGCCAGACAAAGTGGCCTAGAAAGGTTCTTCCGACTTTGGGTCTCTCGGGGCTTTTTTTTGTAGAAAAAGCCCAGCAGGAACTCATTAGAATAATAGGCCACACCCAGCAGCAGAAGCACATTAGCATATTAGGCCACACCCCATGCCTCCCCAATCCTTCCAGGGGGCCCCCCACCTCGGAGTCGCTGGGGGGGTTGTCACTCTCCAGGCCTTCCCTCTGTAGCCAGGCACGCAGAGGTTTTGGCTGTAGTGGGCGTGGCCAACTCTGAAGCTAGCCGGAACTCCGTTCCTGTGCGTTCCTGCCCAATAATAACCCTGGGGTCTCTATGACAGCCAGCCCTGCTCAATTCTAACTTCTCCCTGAGATGCACCGTCTTGGGATGGGGAGGAGCAGAGATTTTATTCCAGCCTTGTTTCCTGTGGGAAAGCCCCATTGGCCATTGCTTATAGGGGAAACCCTCTCTGTGTATATGAACTTGGTAGTTTTCTGCTGCCACCAGGAATTAAAATTCCAATTCTCTCTCTTTTGGTAGTATGACCCTAAGGTCTGGGCCTAGGACAGCCAGCCCTGCTCGATTCTAACTTCTCCCTGAGATGCACTGTTTTGGGATGGGGAGGAGCAGAGATCTTATTCCAGCCTTGTTTCCTGTGGGAAAGCCCCATTGGCCATTGCTTATAGGGGAAACCCTCTCTGTGTATATGAACTTGGTAGTTTTCTGCTGCCACCAGGAATTAAAATTCCAATTCTCTCTCTTTTGGTAGTATGACCCTAGGGTCTGGGCACTTCAGAGGCCTATGTGGCCCTGAGAAAGTACTGTACTGATTTCTGGGATACGTTTAAACAAAAAATGATTTATTTAATAGAGAACAAGATAGGTTTCTGGTCATTTTGAACAGCTGCTGACGAAAGGAACTTGTAATGATAACTCGCAAAGCCTGGTGCCCCAAACAGTCTCTCAAACGCCAAACTCCACTCTGACAGCCTTATACACTCATATATAGAGCCACACAGGCTAGTCCCTTTGTTTTATTCACACTGGATAGAATCAGAATTCCATAGTCACACAGACTATGTTCTCTCTCCAAGCTTCACACACAGAATCCTTCATAACTCTCAGAGTCACACAGACTCTCTTCAAAACTCTTCCATGCTTGTCTCTCTCATATCACAGAATCTCCTCCTAGACACACACACAGATTCCTCTCAGACACCCCTCCTCCCACACTCTCAGTCAGCAGCCAATCAAATCACACTTGTCATCCCTCTTCTTCTAATACTGCATTCAAACGAAACATTTAAAGGAACACACACACACCAAAACCATGGAATCATTACAGCCCCATTGGCCAGCAAGGCTCTAGTTTTCCCTTGCGTCGCGCACGGGTTTGTGGCAGACGTGCACTGAAGTGGAAAGAGCTCCTTCGAAGCAGAAAACGTGCAATCCCCTAGACTGATCCTTGCAAGAACTCATCTCAGTCCACCACAGCAGTGCTTTTTTCATGCTGGGGGAGGGAAACAGTCTATCTGGGCCTGGGCCCATACAGTGACCGATCAGGTGGCCCTGGTTGAAGTTGACAAGGAGAGGGTGTTGAGAGTAGGCAGTAAGAGACTCCATCCCCTTAAGCAGCAGAGGTTCTTCAAAGGTAATACTGCTCCTGAACATGAACATCCCATTCCTTGCTGTCCTATCTCAAATCACCATTGGCCGATCCTTTTGTCAACCTCGTTTGCTCCTTTCTAAAGTCTGCTTTGGCCAGTGGCTAGTGCCACATCCCGTGGCCATGAGTTCCATAAGTCGATTTGCGTGAAAGAAGTACTTGCCTTTGGCAGTCCCCGAATCCCTTGCTAGCAGCCAGTTGCATTCCCGGGGCCAGGGTTAAGCGCACTTTCTGCAAATGATCCATCTACATTTTCTTACCAGCAACTGATCTTGCCAGTGGCTTTGATCCTGAGTTTTCCCCACTGCCTCTTTTCTCCATTTGTGAAAATGTTGCGAAAATGCAAAGGGCTAGCCTTCTGTGAGTACTGACTCTCTCTTAACCTTCCTTTCTTTCAGTGAGTTTTCAGCTGAGAATTCTCAACTCATCCCCGTCTTTGCAGAGGCGAATGTGTCTTCAGACTACATTAATGCACCAGCAACGTTACCATCTGCGTGGACGTCATTGGCATCTGTTGGTGGAACGCCTCGTGAAGCCAGTGACTTGGTAGATGCTGGATAATTCTGAAGGAGGACTTGTATTATACCCATATTCTACTCCCATCCTCTTTTCCTTTTTTTTCCCCTTTCCTTGAAAGTATCACAGGCAGCCGGGAGGGAAGACAGAGGGCTTTGTAGAATGAGGTCAAAACCACACACCGAGTTCCCAGATCACTGATCCGGTCTGAGCAGGGATCCCTGCTCTTTTGTTAACACTCCTGGTTTCCTCTCTGTCCACGATCCTCTGTCATCATTTCTACTTGTGAGATCTTGCCACGAAGTTCCTGTGTAAGGTTTGTGTGGGTTTTCAAATCCCAGAGGTGTAAACGAGGTGCCTTTCCATCTGGGGTTGAGGGTGGGCTTTGGGAACCTTATATTTCCATGTTCCGGTCCCCTTTTTGTATCCTGGAGGAACCCTACCGCAGATCCAGCACTCATGTACAAACGGTTTTTATGGAAATGCTGGCATGTGGCTTTTTTTGCATGCCTTGGAAACGTACATGTGGAGAAGAACTTGGCGATGGAAAAGTGCAGATCAGTTGGCCTCTTGTAATGAGAATAGCAGAGGGAAGGAAAAAGAATTCCTCTGTTCCATTTTTCTGTTGTGCTGGATGCAGTGTGTGTGGGGGGGTGGTTTTTGTGTGTCTCCCGTAATAATTTTAAAGTATATATTAAGAAAATGATAAATGTCTAAATGCATAGATGAGGCATGGAGTTAAACAATCCAACAATGGAAGAACACAGACCTTAATGTGTTTTGGCATTAGCTGGGGTTTTCTATGCTGGGAGGGGAAGTTGCATTGAGTACTGATGGTGCTGGTGTGTGTTTGGCCCCATAGATATTCCATACACACACACCTTGCTTTCGCCGCCTGCCCAAGTTGGGAGAAAGGGAGTCAGCATTCAGGCTGGGATGCAGTTTTCTTTTGTGGGCGGGGAGGGGAGAAATGCAGCTAACCCCACATGCACAACACTCCACTGATTCTTGCTACTGAAAACCAGTGCCTTCTGTGTTTGAGGGTGAAGTCCTATGACCAAATCCCTGAAAGGCTTTTATCGAAATGGCTCTTTATGATGCGTTTTGAACTTTCGGGGAACAAATAATACAAGTAGAGAGGAGTTCTAACCATGTCAGTTCTAGGCCGAACTTTATTTAGGAGAGCTGTTTCCCAATGTAGCTGCTAGTCAGGAATTTAGGATATCCCCCCCAAAAAAGTTTTGTTTGTTGCAATCCATCAATTAAATCAGACCCGGCTACCTTTCCCTGTTCGGTTTTATTTCCCCACGGTCAATTGCCTGTATGGGGGGGAAAATTCCATTTTTTTTCTAGAAAACCCTGGCAGATTGTGTGCTGTAGAAAAGAGACGATCACTATGGGAAAGCGCACCACTGGTAAATGTGTACACGCTTTTGAGATTTGTGGCCGGGGGTGGGAGCCCATTGGATTAGTTTTCTTCATGGTCTCCGATCAGACTTGATAGGCTGCGGCGGGCAAGCGTTCCTGTGTTTCAAAAACAAAAGCAGCTTCCCGGGTTGCCCCGTGCAGATTTCGGAAAGTTCTCGAGCATCCTTTTTATGTATTCCAAACACGCACTCCATTCTCTTACTGCTAACGATAAAATGCGTATTGTGTTAGCATCTTAATGTACAGTTCTTGTTGCGGAATATTAGTTTTGTAATAAAATGGGGTTTTTTTCAATACGTTTAACCTCAAGGGAATTTCAGGCCATTGGGGACGATACACGGGACTCAAAACACGGCTCGGCTGTAACATTCGCTAGGGATTTTGGATCTTGGGCCGACCCCTGTTCCCCTCAGCACCCCTCATTTGCGCTTGTTCAAGACAAATGCATTGTTTTTGAATAGAGTCCCTGTCCACAAATGAGTGTTCCCGCTAAGCCGAGTTAGCGTGAGCTAGCTCACAGTTTTTTAGCCTCCGGCTCATACATTTCTGTCTCAGCTCAGGAAGGACGGCTCCAGAGCAAACTAATGTACACAGGAGCCAAATCGCTCGCTCACACCTTTAATGCCAGTAGCTCACAAAGCGGAGTTTTTGCTCATAAGACTCCACGGCTTAGAGGGAGCATTGCCATAAATGCCACATTCCACAACATTCCAGGAAGAAGAGGAGGAGGAGGAGATTGGATTTATACCCCGCCCTTCACTACCCGAAGGTGTCTCAGAGCGCCTTACAAACTCCTTTCCCTTCCCCTCCCCACAACAGACACCCTGTGAGGTCGGTGGGGCTGAGAGAGCTCTCTCAAGAACTGCCCTTGAGAGAACAGCTGTGAGAGAACTATGGCTTGCCCAAGGTCATCCAGCCAGGTGCAAGTGGAGGAGTGGGGAATCGAACCCGGTTCTCCCAGATTAGAGTCCGGGCACTTAACCACTACACCAAACTGGAACCCAGTGAGATGGTCAAGTCGCAGGGTCTGCTTTCCCAGCCATAGTTGGGCTGGGTCTTCTTCATAGACCCATGCTTGCTCTCCGCAGTCCTGTATGGCCAGGGGTCCCCGGCATGGTTTCCATGGGTGCCATGACCTCCACCAACACCCTTCCTAGCGCCTCTTTAGAAAGCTGGCAGAGGCAAGAGGGGATTCTGATTGGCCACCGGGGATCTGGCTAGCTGTGCACATTATTTAAAAGGTCACTTTGGCAGCAGCTTGCCACCACTGCACAAGGATCTTCACTACGTGACTGAAGATCAGTTGTGTGCGAACCAGAAAATATTTTTTTAAACCATGTGTTCGTTTTCGAAGAAGAGGAGATTGGATCTATACCTTGCCCTTCATTACCTGAAGGAGTCTCAGGGTGCGTTCAGACGGGGCATTTATGCCGGTATAGATGCCAGTTGGAATCGGTGTACTTACGGGCGATCACACAGCGAACATCTGCCTTCTGCCCCTAACCGTTGCAAACAGCTTTTAAACCGTTGTATTCTGCTACTAGGTCCCCAAGTGGTGGTATCCTGAGTGCACCGGTTCCAGCCGCATTATCCCCGTCTGATCGCTCTCTGCCGGTGTCTGGCCACTTCCGTTCGGAAGACCGAGGCTTCTGCTTTTCGGCCGCCTTTTTTTTTTTTTAAAGTAGACAGTGTGCGCTTGGGCAAAGCTTCGCCCCGTCGTTCATAATAATAATTTTTAAACTGTGCCTAGTGTAAGGCTTTAGACGAGTCCGGGACCTCACGGAGGCCAGTTTCAGAGTAAAAATTTAAAGGGACGTCTTCAGGGCACTCTTTTCGGGACGGGGTGTTCTGTGCCTGCACGAAGATCTCAACTCTGTGGATGGCTGCCTATGCACATGTGCAAAATGTAAAAAAACTAAACAAAAACCGCCGACGCATGCTGCTGCGCGTCGGTAGTGTGAACAGGCATATTGCAATGTGCTGTGGAGTCAGAAGGTGAGTGTGATCGCATTTCTTCCGGATCTTAAATGGCCTGTCTGAACGCACCCAATGGGTGTGTTCAGATGGGTCATTTAAGCCGGTATACATGCCGAGGTGGGGCTGAGAGAGCTCTTTCAAGAACTGCCCTTGAGAGAACAGCTCTGAGAGGACTTGTGACTGACCCAAGGTCACACCAGCAGCTGCATGTGGAGGAGTGGGGCCCAACACAGCCAAACCCAGCTCTCCCAGATTAGAGTCCATGTTCTTAACGGCTATACCAAACTGGCTCTTGTTAAACAGCTTCTGCCTGCAGTGTTGTGCCTATGGCGGCCATTTGGTGGTTGCGCCCACCACACTTTACAGAACTCCAGCAGTGTGTGCAGGCTTAAAGAGGTTGGGGACCCCCTGCTGTATGCATTCGGCTGTACAGGTACCCTGTCCTGACCTACCTAAAAAGGTGAACGCAAGGATGACTGGGAACATTAGAAATGTCTAAAAATACAAAGTGTAGAGGGGAACTCTGGTAATATCTTAAAGGAACATTTTTCAGTGGTCCTGATGACCACAGGGGTGGGGGAGTAGAAAAATTTGAAATTTGTGTAACATGTCAAGGGGGACGGCCTCTTTTTCTCCACTGGGGTTCAAAATTCAATGCAGCCTCTTCCTCAGCGCGAGTGTCCAGCAGTGGTACAGTTTCAGAGGAACTGTGGTGTGCATAAGATCTTGTGCACAAAGAGCGGCTTCTGTGTTTTAATGAAGAAACTTTCAGCACTGTTGTCTGTATCTGAAGAAGTGAGCAGTGACTCACGAAAGCTCCTACCCTGCCACAAATTTTGATAGTCTTTAAGGTGCTCCTGGACGCTGGCTCTTTTTTACTATTGATCCAGAACCTGACAAAGGTTAGTCAAATGCAAGAAAGGGGGCCAATATTAAAAACTTAATGAAGGAAATACATAACAAATACATGTATTTATTAATCACAAATTTTAAAATTATATATAAGGGCCCAATCACACGTTATGTATAAATAACAAATGATAAAACGCAAGGGCTATTAAATCTGACCTGACGTGTTTCGGCCTACATAGGCCTTCCTCAGAGGTCAATAGTGGGGAACATATTGGCTATTATAAATATGGTAAAGGGTAAAGGTTCCTTTGCTCGAAAGCCAGTCGAGTCCGACTCTAGGGTTGCGGTGCTCATCTCCGTTTCCCAGCCGAAGAGCCAGCGCTGTCCGAAGACGTTTCCGCGGTCATGTGGCCGGCATGACTAAACACCAAGGGGCACGGAATGCTGTTCCCTTCCCACCGGAGTGGTACCTATTTATCTACTTGCAATTTCTTGCTTTCGAACTGCTAGGTTGGCAGGCGCTGGAACTAGAGACGGGAGCTCACTCCGTCATGCGGCACACTCGGGTCTCGAACTGCTGAACTACCGACCTTCCACAGCCTGCAGTTCAGCGTCTTAACCACTTTTGTAATCCCTAATATGGTCTGATGCTCTGACCTGGATGGTCCAGGCTAGCCCAAGCAGGGTCAGCCCTGGCTAGTACTGGGATGGAAGACCACCAAGGAAGTCTAGGGCTGCGACACAGAGACCGGCCATGGCAAACCACCTCTAAACATCTCTGCCCCGACCCGAACGGCCCAGGTTAGCTCGATCTCATCAGATTTCAGAAGCTAAGCAAGGTCAGCCCGGGGTCAGTGTTTGGATGGGAGACCACCAGGGTTCCCTCCAAGCTAAGTTAGTGTGAGCTAGCTCACAGCTTTTTAGCCTCCGGCTCACACGTTTTTGTCTCCGCTCAGGAAGGGGGGGTTCCAGAGCAGTGTTCCCTCTAAGCTGAGTCAGTGTGAGCTAGCTCACAGTTTTTTAGCCTCCGGCTCACACATTTTTGTCTTAGCTCAGGAAGGAGGGCTCCAGAGCAAACTCATTTGACGCAGCAGCCAAATGGCTCGCTCACCATTTTAATGCCAGTAGCTCACAAAGTAGAATTTTTGCTCACAAGACTACAGCTTAGAGGGAACATTGTTCCAGAGCAAACTGGTTTATGCAGCAGCCAAATCGCTCGCTCGCAACTTTAATGCCAGCGGCTCACAAAGTACAATTTTTGCTCACAAGACTCCACCGCTTAGAGGGAGCATTGGAGACCAGCATGGTTTTGGGGGGGTCTGAGCCTGTGGAAATCAAAGCTCCCTTTATCAGATAACAAAGGCATTGGCCATGGCTGCTCAGAATGGCTGACCTTGGGCTGGACGAACCAGTAGTCTGACCCCCCACGTCAGTGTGAAGCAGCGCCAGACTTTCACATGGTATTTTTAAAATAACGGAATAGTCCTTATTGGTAGAGTTGCCGACCTCTGGATCTCCTGCTACTTCGGTTAATCTCCAGAGGACCAAGATCAGTTCCCCTGGAGAAAATCGTTGGAGGGTGGACTCTGTAGCGCTTTATTTAATGAATTGGTCATTTATTTATTTATTCACATTTATAGCCCGCCCTTCCCAGAAGCGAGCTCAGGGCAGGTAACAACATTACATTGATACAAAATAGATTAGTGCATACAATAAAATGTAAAACATCATCATAAATATTAAAATGGTGATCACAGCTGATAGCAAAATAATTTTCTGGTTGGGGGGGGGGGTTCCGGGCCGGAAGGCTGAGAGGACTGGGACTGGCCCAAGGCCTCCCAGCAGGCTCCGTGTGGAGGACGAGTGGGGAACAATATTCCAATTTCCTGGGGGGCTGGGGCTGGGCCAGAGGCATTGCTTTGCTAGGAGTAAGGGTGGCTCCCGGGGGAGGCTGAGCACCTTCCTGAAAATTTCGGCGGGGGCTGACGCCCCACCGCCCCCACGAAGATTACGCAGCTGCATCTTGTTTGTGGCAGTTCAGGAGACTCGCTGTGGCTGTACATCATCAGCCACCCCTAAAAAAGCCAGTATGGTGTAGCAGAGTTTCAGACAATGGCCCATTCTGCATCTAGCATTCGTTCCATGGTCCAGGGCTCTTTTTGTAGAAAAAGCCCAGCAGGAACTCATTAGCATAATAGGCCACACCCAACAGCAGGAACTCATTAGCATATTGGGCCACACCCCTGACAGCACAGCTCATTAGCACATTAGGCCCCATGTTACCAGAAGTGTGGTCATCCAGCCACACCCACCTTTTGCTTCTTATTCTGCTTACTTTGTTTGTTGTCAAAACCCAGGGCTTTTTTTGTAGCCGGAACTCCTTTGCATGTTAGGCCACACACCCCTACTATAGCCAGTCCTCATGACTTTCTGCTTTTGGGTGTGGCCTATTATGCTAATGAGTCCCTGCCGAGCGTGGCCAACTTGGGAGCCAGGCGGAACTCCGTTCCTGCCCAAAAATAGCCCTGGTTTTACCAAACCCACACTGGAACAGAAAAAGATGCGGCTCAAAACAACATTAAAATACCTCAGACCAACACGGCCATTGATCTGTGCCGACAGTACCATAAAGCCGAGAGAGCAAAGGAAGTGAAACTGGCTTGCAGTGTGGAGGCTACCATAAAATCCAATAATCAAAGAAAGTGAAAGTGGCATGCAATGTAGAGGGGAATTTCTGTTCCAGTGTGGGTTTGGTAAAACAGCGGAGTGAATGCTGGGTGCAGAATGGGCCTCGGACTTTGGGAGACCACTCTGCCTTGCCAAGCTCACTGGGTGACCGAGGGCCAGTCACACAGTTTTAGTCTAATCTACCTCACAGGGTTGTTCTGAGAATAAAATGGAGGAGTGGAGTATGGTGTAAGCTGCTTTGGGTCCCAAGGGAGGGTGTAAATGAAGTAAAGAAGTAAAGTACCGTATCTCCCCCAACGAAGATGAGGAAGATAAAAGCTTAGTGAGTGACTGGGAAAGTGAGGATATGGGGGTCTCCCAGGAGAAGAGAAAGAGGAAATGTGTGGTAAAAAGGGGGTCTGTGCAAAAATAAGGTATCGTCCCCTGCAAGTGGGCCCCTTTGGAAGGCTGAAAAAGGGTGGTGGGCTTAATCAGAAGATGACTGCTACAGGAGGTGAAGCCAATCACAAAATGGCTGCCATGGGAGGCCGGGCCAAGCACAAAATGTCAGGAGTCCAGGCTATATACAACTCTTAATAATGACTATTTAACATGTCAAGCTCTGTTTAACAGGATACCTTTTATTTAATGTGCACAGCCAATCAGAAGCCAATCAGTGGGCACCATGGCACACACAGGGGCACTGTGCTGGGAACCCATGCTTTACGACTTCCAAGCTCGGGAAAGGGTGGGGGGCTTTTTCCGGTATAGTTAAGAGTCATGCAACACAATCCTAAACCTAGTTAGAAGGGTATAACTCTAGGCAGGATTTGCCCTGTGTGTCCCTACTGATGTATGTTGCACATAACAGCATATATATGGGTTACCATATTTTGAAAAGCAAAAAAGGAGGCCATATTTCCCGACTGACTACTTCAAACAAGTGATCACCGTGACAAACTGCCAGTTTGGTGTAGTGGTTAAGAGCATGGACTCCAATCTGGGAGAACCGAGTTTGATTCCCCACTCCTCCACTTGCAGCTGCTGGTGTGACTTTGGGTCAGTCACAAGATCTTTCAGAGCTGTTCTCTCACAAGCAGTCCTCGAAAGAACTCTCTCAGCCCCACCTCCCTCCCAGGGTGTCTGTTGTGGGGAGGGGAAGGGAAAGGAGTTTGTAAGTGGCTCTGAGACTCCTTCGGGTAGTGAAGGGTGGGGTATAAATCCGATCTCTTCTTCCTCTTTTACTTCACAGGGTGTCTGTTGTGAGTAGGGGAAGGGAAAGGAGACTGTAAGCCACTCTGAGACTCCTTCGGGTAGTGAAGAGCGGGGTATGAATGCAATCTCCTTTTCTTCTAACATCAGGGTACATGAACAAGAGAAACAATTCTAAAAAACAGTATAGATAATTCTTAAAACAGCAACCCCTCCTCTTTAAGCTGTTAGCAGTGTTTATGTTAGCACTTTATGTAATTGTCCTTATTCTCATTTTATTGTATTTATTGGTTTTACTGCATTTTAACTGTGTCAGCCGCCCTGAGCCAGTTTCCACCGGCAAGGCGGGATATAAACTGAAAGTAAATAAATAAAAGAAATAAATCACTAGGAATCTGCCTCACCCCCCCAACCAATACTCCCTCTAAGCTGTGGAGTCTTGTGAGCAAAAATCCCACTTTGTGAGCTGCTGGCATTAAAGTTTGGCTGCTGCATCAGTTAGTTTGCTCCGGAGCCATCCCTTCCTGAGCGGAGACAAAAAGGTGTGAGCCGGAGGCTAAAAAGCCATGAGCCGGCTCACACTAAGCGTAGAGGGAACACCGCTCCCTCCCAACCCAAAACGGGGACATTTTTCATCAGTGTGTCTGTTTTGTTTTTTAAGAGCCCCCAAATGGGCCGGGCCCCAAAAGAGGCCGTGTCCTCGGGAAAGAGGCCACCGGGCAAGAACCCATCTCTGATCCCAGCCCGGCAAGCGACGCTGGTCCCCAGCAATGTTCCCCACTCCTCCACTTGCAGCTGCTGGTGTGACTTTGGGTCAGTCACAAGATCTTTCAGAGCTGTTCTCTCACGAGCAGTCCTCGAAAGAACTCTCTCGGCCCCACCGACCTCACAGGGTGTCTGTTGTGGGGAGGGGAAGGGAAAGGAGACTGTAAGCCACTCTGAGACTCCTTCGGGTAGTGAAGAGTGGGGCATGAATCCAATCTCCCCTTCTTCTAACATCAGGGTACATAAACAAGAGAAACAATTCTAAAAAACAGTATAGATAATTCTTAAAACAGCTACCCCTCCTCTTTAAGCTGTTAGCACTGTTTATGTTAGCACTTTATGTAATTGTCCTTAATTGTCATTTTATTGTATTTATTGGTTT